GGGCTGGGCTCTGTGACCCTGGCTCTGAGCTTGCAGTCCAGGGGGACGTATGCAGCCGGCCACACGGTGGGAGCAGGACCAGATGTCTCCCAACCCCACAGGGAGGTCCTATGGCTGGGGATACATGGGGCCCTGGCTGACAGCTCTGACTGCTCAGAATCGAGTTCCCGGCTCCTGCCCGGACTCTGAAAGGCAGCGAGCCCCTCACACTCACCTCGGAATCATCTTTAATGTTGTCGTGTTTCCGGGTTGAAGAGATATAAGCAACTATCGGAGAGAAGGAAAGAAAAGGGCATTACAGGTGACACCAGGAATGTGGCCCAGGGACACAGGGACGTAGTGGGCCAGCGGTACCCAAAGCCAGTCCATGGCGCAGCCTCTCGGGCCCTGGTTCAGCACTGTGTGAAGATGCAGCTTCTGGGCCTGTGCAGCCGGGCTGATCACTGGCCTGGGCCTATGCTGGTGATCATTTCCCCAGGGATTCACCCAGGGGTAACATAGTCTGTGGCACAGCATGGGCTCAGGTCCTACAGCCTGCACAGGTTGGAAACGCTTCCAGACACCTGCTCTAGCAACACTGACAGAAGTACTCAGAGCAGCTATTCCAGCCCTCAGCCAAGTGAGATGGTCTAATATGAACCCTTTAACAAAGTGGGGCTTTCCAGGGAATCCACTGAACCTTGCACTGAATGCAAAGACCAGAATGGCCATGTGTGTGCATGCTCACACTGCCCTAAAAGTGAAAATCGTAAACAGAACCATGTTAAGCCTGGGACTACCTTTAAGTACAGATTTTGGTGTCCAGGCTTCAGCCTTTCTCCGAAGACTGTGCAAGCTGGGTGTGTAGGTATACTCTGGTAATCTCAGCACTCTGGGAGGCTGAGGCAAGAGGATGGAAAGTTAGAGCCCAGCCTGGGCAACTTAGGGACTAGTGAGACCTTGTTTCAAAAATAAAAAATGAAAAAGGGCTAGAGATCTGGCTCAGAGTAAAGGTTCTGGGTTCAATGCCAGTAAAGTGAAAAAAAAAAATGTGTGCCGGCAGATGGTGCATGAGTGCACATTTGTCTGTCTTATGGATGGGTAGACGATGGGTAGATGGGTGAGGAATGGGTGGGTGGACAGGTAGATGACTGTTAAGTGGATGGTGGATAGGTAAGAAGATAGAAGGGTACATGATGACTGCGTGGGTGGGGGGACGGGCAGATGAACAGTGGACGGGGTGGATGAGTAGATGGGTGGGCAGATGGATGATACATGAATGGATAGATGGATGAGGGACATGAATGGATGGATGTTGGATGGACAATGGTATGGATGAGTGGGTGGACGACGGTCTGTTGGTGGGCCGCTGTTTATTAGGAATCTTGTGCAAGGTGCTGTACTAAGTGTTTTGTATTCCATAGTCTTGTTTCATCCTACAGAGCCCTCTAAGGTGACAGATTCACTATCCAAATGAGACTCAGGGCATTCATACACCTGTTAGAGTCCACAAGTGTGGAAGTCTAGACCTGAGCCATCAGCCAACTCACATTTGAAATCTCCCTGAATCCCTAGGGCCATGCAGCCGCCCTGTCTGTGTGCGGCAGCCCTGCACAGTACAGGACAGCAGCACCACACAGCACCCAGGTTAGGAGGCCCTGGTCACGGTGCTGCTGCTGTTTTTCTGGACTCCCCAAGTTCATGCAGGGGAGAGACCCCCACCTGGGTTCCCATGGCAGTGCCCCGGGGAGGTCGCAGCCCAGCACCCACCAGCTGGGGACTGAGGTGACACCCTGCACCACGCTGTCCCCATTCCTTCAGGAGGCACCATACTCTCCAACCTTGGGGGCAGGCAGTCAGGAAGGCGACCTTCTCGGCCACAGAGGGCTGGGCCCTGGGCAGGGGGAACCTACTTCCATCGGTATCCTCGGAGGGAAGGTCCACGCCGTCACTCTTCTCATCTGTGGGAGGCTCTTGGGAAGGCATGACAGAATCCTGCAGCGACACCACAGGTCACTGGTCCCACAAGCACAAGCAGCAGATGCTGCGTGGCTTTTTGTGACCATGCTCTACAGCATGTACATGGCAGCATGTTACAGAGTGTGCTTGATGGGCTACCAAACTGGACACACACAGAATGCACAAGTTGGCTCCAGGTCCAGGGCCAGGGGCAACAGTGGGTGCCCGAGGCTGTGGTTGTCCCACAGGTGCTACATACATGGCGGGCGATGCCCCACCCACGTGTATCCCAGGCGGGCTCAGGCCCCATGCAGCTGACGTGTTGTGACAGTCAAGTGCTGGGCTTCTAGGTTCCAAACACTGGCCTCCCTCCTTCCCACTGACCAGTCCCTGGGCTAAGTGGACCTGTGTGGTCGATGGAAAATACACCTCCCTGTGGGGACCCTGGTGACACAGATGGTGCCGCTCAGTGCCGTCTGCCAGGTGTCTCCGCCCCTGTGCCCTAGGAAGACTGGGCCAGGCATTGTGGAGGCAGAGGCGCCCCACTAGGGCGTCTGAACAGGACTCACCATATGCCTTCTGCAGGTCAGTGGGACGAGCACGTGGCAGCGTTTATGGACCAGCAGCTTGCAGTTGATGCACCTGTACCCTTGCCGCGAGAGGCCCCATATCCTTTCACTGCACTGGCCGCAGTATGCCCGCTGCAAGGGAGGCAGGTGGGAGTCTGCCATCAGGCGGGCCAGGGCCCTTGGGGCGACACCACTGGGCCTGGCCCACCCACTGGCAGGCCAGCAGTGTGGTCTTCCCTTTCCTCGTCTTTCTGGATTGTAAAGGAACCCTCTTTGTTCTTTCTACTTGTTTGGTGATGTTTTCTTGAATTTTTATATTTTTCAAAGTGCAAGAGAAAGTGTCTTCTGGACATGGGCGTGAAGTCACCTTGTGGTTACTCAGCAAGGACACAGGTCCCCATCTGGAACTTCCCAGTTGTAACTCCCATGTGTCCCTGACCCCTTTTACATTCCTAGCCCTCCTGTCTTTCAGACAGCCTCAAATTACCCCACACAGGAGCAGGAAAAGTCCAACAGTCTGAATGAATTCATTTAGGACAACAGACTGGACCCTCCCACAGGGCCACGGTGCAGCCCTGCTCATGGGGCACCCCCACCCACCCTGGGGGAGGCACTGAGCATGGGCAGCCAGTGTGAGAAGCCAGGTTCCCGCCAGGACCAGCCCCAAGGACAGCGCCAGGTCTGAAGGGTGCTGACGGACGTTGTCACGACAGGAAGACACAGGTGCACCCAGTGCACACGCCACTGCTTTTGACTTTGTTGCCAAGAAGAAAAAATAATTTATTCCAAGTCTTCATGTGGTACCCGAATCAGATTCCCACAGAGGACTCAAGCCAGATCTGCAGCTGCCTCTGGAACGGCCCAAAAAAAAAGGCAGTGTGGGGTGCAGAGCCAAATGGGATGGGTGGGGCCTGGCCAGGCCAGCCCAGGGCCGGCCCTGGGCTCTACACAGGCACAGGTGGGTGAGCCCAGCCAAGCCTTCTGCATCCCAGGACAGCTCCAGGCAGGCGGACTGCTCTCCTTCTTCCGCATTGACACCAGTTACTATTTATGCAGCTGTTTAATAAAAGCCACCCTGGTGGCCTCGCACGCCAAATGTGTCCAGCCTTCCCTGGGTTAGCATTCAGCGCTGCAATCTGCAACAACTGGGTAGCATCTGGGGGCACGTTCACAGCCACCAGGTGTCCTCCCAGCTGCTACTGTCCCAGGGCTCAGCACTGGCTGGGGCGGGTGAAGGTGCCAGTGCCTCCACCTGCACTTCTAGGGGAGGCCCCAGAATTCTGCCAGCAGCCCCACGCTTCAGATCTGTTATCGGATCACTAACATCCCAGAAAATGTGCCATTAAAAAGTAAAACAACACTTAGGCCCATTTCTATTCTCAGGAATTCATGTCAATTAATAGATTAATGGGATACAAATATTTTAAAGTCTCTCTTACACATTCTCAGTTTGTACCTTGCTCATACTTTCAACAATCTATTTTAATTTTTTAAATACATGCAGTACTTTTTAAACATGCCATCTATGCCTTGTCAGGGTTTGGCCACCGGGTGCCATGGATGCCCGTTTCTTACTGCACCCTGTGGTTCTCACTGAGCTGGGCACCCCACTTACCTGTCTTGGGATTCTTTGAGTGGACTGTGTTTGCACTGCTGGCCACCAGGGGCATTGCCCGGCCAGGCACACTTATGAACAAACTGGGGCTAGGTCTGTGCGAGGCCCTTCTCGAGAGCCCTTCTTTTCCCTCCAGTCCCATCTTTCCACGGAGCCAGTGACTGCAAGCACTTAACGTCACTGGTGGGTGGAAGCGCCCTGCACCTGCTCCTCCGGGGCCTCAGTTATCTCAGAAGGTCAGACCCAGCCTATCCCCAGCTTGAGTTTCCCAGGAACACAGCTACACCCACTTGTCAGCCACAATGGCAGCCCCTTAGCTTCAGCAGAGCTGCCTCTGGCCAAATCTTAACTCCCTTCCCTCACAGGAAATGCCTGTGCACCAGCTTTAGCTCTGTAGACCAAAGAACTCAGGAGAAGCCCTCGATGGGCCACCTGGGTCATCTGTGAATGTCCCCTGCACTGGCCCAAATGAAGCCGCAGTCCCGGGATGGCCCAACAGCTGGTCCCGCAGCACGAGTGACCGGCAAGATCCTGGAGGGGGACCCTGACTGTTGCTGGGTGTCTTGCTCAGAGAAGGGGCCATTTCCTCTTCCTCCCATGCAGAGCCCTGCAAGGTGGGCTCCTCCTCTGGAGTAGGTGCAGTGGAGCTGTGCAGCTACTTCCTAAGCACACTCAAGAGAGCACGGTCCATGTCTGCACCTGGCCCAGGCTGCGCGGGCCCCACCGCAGCCAGCAGTGACATGTTCTGCACCAGTCTTCCATGAGGTCCAGGGTCCATGTACATAACAGGTGCTCTGATTAACCATCAGGTCCCTGCTCAGTCCAACATCTCTGAAACGCTGACTTGCAGGCGCTCCTTAACACCAGCATGGGTACTGTCTCGATGCATTATTCTTCTTAGTTGGCTTTGCATTTAATTTGTATGGCAACTACAGAAATCGGAAGGCTCCTCAGGTCCCCACTGCCCAGTTTTTCTCTAAAGACCTGCATTGCTTCTAGTTTCAAGGCTTTTCCTGCAGTGTACTTCAAGGTGAGTGACAGGGCTGGGGTCGCTGCCGTCCTACCTGCTTCCTGGCTGCAGGTGAACCGGAAGCTGCCTCTACTGACCCGGCCATGCTCCCTGCTGTGGGGCCGGCTGGGCTCCAGGTCCTCCCCACCATCCAGGTCACATAGCTGGAGACCACGGCATCACCCATGGTGCTCTCCCTTTCTGAAGTCGAAGAGGGGTCCAAATGCAAACCCAAACCCAGGCAGGAGCCATAGGGCCTGAGGGACCTTCCCGTGGGCATCTGCCCTCAACATCGGCCGGTTCCCATAAAACCAAGCTCTTGAAAGCAAACACAGGTTTATGAGCCATTCCTTAACTCACACTGATGGGTGTGGCATAGCCCTGGAGGACTGGGCAGATGCTGGCAGCAAGGCAGAAGGTGACAGGATAGGAAACACCAGCAGGTGACAGCCTCACGCTGATGGTCCCCTGACCATCTTCCTATTTTCTGAAGGACCGAGTGGGGCTCAAACTGATCCCTTTGCAGTTGTTGGTGGGAACCTGCCATGAGTGCTAGTCAGGCCACCCAGGTGGGCTCACGGTGCTGCTCAGGGATTGGGCCATTTCCAAGGTGGGTGCTGGACCTGCCTGGGACCTGGCTCAGAGAAGCCACCAGAGCTGCGGGATGGTGGGGCTCCTCCCCTCCTCCCCCAGGGCAGTGGCTTTCACCCCACCTGGCTGTGCCCTGCAGAGATGCACAAGCTGCCCGGCCCACCCTGCCCGCCTCCTAGAGCACCCACAGCTTCAAACCCTAAGGTTCTCCAATATTCCTCTGTGCAAACCCCTCACCCCAGTGGGTGCCCTGTTCCTGGTTGGTCCCATGGCAGACACCCTTCCCCTCAACTTGCTTATGATGTCGAGCTAGAAGCAGGGTCAGTGTGTCACATGCACCTCCATGGCCAGGCTCGGGGACATGGCCTGGACAGGACACAGCAGAGACACAGTGCTGTTTGCACCGAGCAGTGAGGGCCATCAGGAACCAGGGTGGACAGGGTAAGGCTGTGGCCTCGGCCCACAGACCCCAGTGCCAGCCACACCTCCCAAGCATGATCCTGGGCTCCTCCTCCAGGGGGCCCAGGGGGCTCTTGGCAAAGCGCACCCTGTCTTCCTGTGCGCTGGACCACCACCCTCCTGCAGCCCAGTGCCTTCCGTGTTCCCCCTCAGTTACTCGGGAGCTGGACCTCTGACCCCACCCTGCCAGCTCCTAGGTTTGGGTGACCTGGGGCTGCTCCAGGGATGCAGGGATGATGTGAGCTCTGGGTGTGGAGGCTGCACAGTGAGACAACGGGCACTCGAGGGCAGCAGCTAGCACTTGGCATGTCCACATCCTCATGCCCTCGCCTCCCTTTCATCACTGCCCTTACCACAGGTAAGGAAACAGCTGTGGTGGCAGGACATGGGGGCTTGGGCACCCCTCTCGTGGTGCCAGCGTGGTCACCTTCATGCTGGAGCAGAGCCACCCACCATGAAGAGAATGAGGGCTGCTGAGTGGTGTCCTCGGAAAGGGCAACGGGAGGCTAAATGGTGACCACAGGAAGGACAGTGTGTGTGGGATGGCCTGGGGTTTCGGGGCTCAGGGAAACCCCACGGCCCCTTCTGGATCCAAGCAGGCCAGAGCCAGAGTCCTTAGTGTGGCCCAGAGTTACAGCTAACATAACCAGGATGCCAAGGGACACAGAGGAGACCAGCGCACACAGCCAGGCCCCGGGAGCCGCATGGGCTCCGGGCACCCCACGAGCAGCTGTGTGTGTGTGCATGCGTGTGACAGAGTGTGAGAGAGCCGGCTCCACTCAGGACTCTGCACCAAGCACAGGGCCCACAGCTGGCAGGACGCACTCTTCGAGGGAGACGTCCTGAGGGGCCACTCACCCTGTTAAAGCGCTTGGCTTGGAAGAGATGGCCGTTGGCACGGTAGAGTTTCCTCCATCTTCTGGCTCCACGGCGGTAGATGGATTCTACGAGGAGACGAGAGACGTGTGAGGATTGGCAGGGCGGCCCAAGCTGCCCCGCCCCGGCCCAGCAGTCTCTCCTCACACGACGGTCATATCCCACAGCAGGTAAGGGGCACAGGGCCCAGACAGGCTGGGCAGTGGCGGGGCGACAGGGCTTCCCACAGGGCAGGAGGGGCCCTACAAGGACGGTTGCCCGCCTCCAACCCAGCTGAAACCAGCTGGTTTTCCTGCCTGCCCTCCTTCCCTCAGGGGAGCTGCATGACACGCCTCAGGCGACCAATATTTACAGAGCTCCTGGACACCATGCCGCCAGCCTAGGAGGTGCCGAGTGCTGGCATTGTGTCCTGGGCTCACCAGACAATCCCGGGTCCTGGCCAATCCCAGCAGAGGGAAAGCCAAGCCCACCTGGCACTTATTTTGAATCACAGCTGACCAAAGACAACATTCTACGGAATGCTTGCATTCAACAGTTTGCCTGGGCGGGGAGAACAAGCTTACTAAAGCGCTGGAAGAAACCAGACCAGAACTGCCCCGTCCTCTGCTCCCCGCTCTACACTTTGAAACACTCGGACCCAGAACAAAACCTTCAGAAATACAACACACAATGGGGAGCTTTGTGCTTTTATAAAATTCTCTAGCAAAAGCGACTTTCATGAGGCCAAGGAAAGTGCCACAAATATACTAAAGTGGAAAGAGTAACAGAATGTTTTTAAAACAAGCAAATGACCAGCTCTAGGTGGAAACTGGTGAAGTCAGGTCCTAGGGATTGTAAAACCTACTTCCCTCCCTAGAAGCAAGAAGTTCAGTGAGGAGCCATGAAGTTGGGGTTCCTCTGGGAGCCAGGGGGACACAGGCCTACAGCTGAGATGCTCGGCCACCGAGCCCCCTGGGGCCTTGCATGTGGCTTTCATGGCCCCTAACCCGTGGCCAGGGCTTGGCAGAGGTTGAGTGTTGCTGGTGACTACTGAGGGGTCCCCACCCAGGGGAAGCCCCCGACAGCACTGCGGCCAGGCTGTGGAGCACAGGTCCGGTCGCCACCCACTGCCAAGGCCATTGGGTTGTACCACCAGGTGTGGTCCATCTGTCCGCAACTCCTCAACTCCAGGAGCCCCGTGTCTGCCCATGAGGACAGGACGCATCCCCCAGGGAGGCCGGGCCAGGCGAGGTCCCTGCCCACATCTGCAGGCCTGCCATCTTACCACGGCCCCACAGCCCCTCATCCCAGCATGTGGACTGATGGGGACACAGGGTCGAGATGACATTGAACTAAAATCTCCAAAGCTGAGGTGGTCGGAAGTCATGGCCCAGCAGGGAGTCCACAGGGTGAGCGAGGCCACAGGTGAGAGCAGGTCTGCACAGCTCCCCGAGAGCACAGTGAGCCCAGCCATGAGAGGCACCTTGTCAGGAGATAGTGCTGAGGAGGAGAATGAGGACTCAGCACTGCCTTGGGTAGGGAAGAAGACGCTGTCCCCAGGGCCCAACTGCCCATCCCCGGGTTTCTAAGCCACCCAGGCTGTAGACTTTGCTAAGCAGCCTGGACGGACTAAGACACCCCCTGATACCACACACAGATTTGGCCTCTCAGAACATAAGGGCTTAAATGACCAGGAAAATGATAAAGTAAATTTCTCCCTTTAGAAAAATCATCTTGAAAAAAAAAACCAATTTCCCCTCTTTTAGGGAAAGGTAACATGGGCAAAAAAACCCTGGCAACCAAGAGCAGAGTCAACAGTTCAAGGTGAGCACATGCGAGCATGAGCAGATAGGTGCACCAGGGTCTCCAGGATGCCCAGGGGAGCAAAGGTTTAGCAACTTGGGTGCTAGCAGACCCCTGGTCAGCAAGGAAAAAATAGTGGGAATGTGGCCCAGACCCAGAAGAGGCACCTTCCAGAGAACAGAGGGCAAACACGAGGTGACTCCGCCTGCAGCAGTCGTGCAGATGCAGGGGCCTGGCCTCCCACATGCGCTGCAGCTGCAGGGGCTGGAGCCACAGGGAAGCAAGTGCCAGAGGAGGTGTGCTCTGGGGCCTGGCAACACCACGGCTCTTCAGGGGGAGCTTGTGCAGGGGTTCAGAGCCTCAGGGAGGCCTCCTGGCCCCGAGGTACATGGCCAGGGAACGGGGGCCAGGTGCGTGGTGTCCAGGTGACATGGCCACACACAGTTCATCTCCCAATGTGAAAGCCTGACGTTGCTGACACAAAGCTGACTGCCAAGTGGCTCGCTGTGGTTCAGGCTCAGGATGCCGTCCGTTGGTGGCTCTGAGGACAGCAGCACACAGACCGGGGACCTGGGCCAGCTCCCTGGTGGCTTCGAGGGCACATGTGTCTGTGGCCCTGGGACACTTCAGGAGGTGTATGAGCTGCAGCCCTCCCCTGCTGCTCACAGGCAATTCACACATTCGCCAGGCAGGCTGAGGTCCAAAGGCTCTTCCAGGGGCTCCGGCCAGAGCAGGTATGGATGACAAGAACAGGAAAGCCCTGGGCTCCAAGGGCATCTAATCAGCTGGTGGCCTCCCTAGCTTGGAAGGGCGGATGTGGTGTCTGCTGCCGAGCAGGCTGCTCACTGAGACTGAGCAGCAACATCTTTGGGACAGAGCTCTCCTGTGTACCCGGCTGGCTCTGGGCCTGTTTCCCACCTCCCTGCCCCAGGGCACCCTCTGGGGAAGGCATGGCAGAGTCCCTGGCAGGGACCCCGGGACAGGATGCCCCAAGAGGAGTCACAGCAACAGCAGCCTTTGTGCCTCACTCTGCATGGTCCAGGAAGTGTGGCGTGGGACAGGGAGCCACCCGGAGCTGACCTGGCTGAGGCTTCCCACAGCTCCTGGGGGACGGAGTTCTAGACCAGGCAGAGGCCTGCAGGAGCCTCCTCTCACCACGCAACCTCCAGTCCAGTGTCTCCTGGTTCCCCTGGGCTGGGATGGCCCAGACAGCCCTGTCCTCGGGGAGATTCCAGGTGTTTGCGCCATGTACCTGCTCTGACTTTGGCTGGGGTTTCTCCTGAACCTGGGCAGGGTCATGGCTTCCTTGCTTCTGAATCAGATGAACACTTGGGTTTCTGCCAGGTGTGCTAGCGTACACCTGTAACCCCAGCACTTGGGAGGCTGAGGCAGGAGGACCAATGTAAGTTCTACACTAGCCTGGGCTACACAGCAAGACACTGTGTCGAAAACAAAATAAAACAAAACAAGACCCTTCAAAAATAAAACCTGGGTTTGATCCCCAGTACCAAAATAAAAAAATAAAACCTGAGTTTCAACCACAGCAGCAATTGGCAAAAACTAGAAACTTACAAATCACGTGATTTGCTAGAAGCTTCTCTGAGTACAGGGGGCCGAGGCATATAGTACTCTGGGACACTGGGCGGAGGGGGCACCGAGCTCTACCCTCCCCAGAGGCCACAGGACCTGTGCCTGGCCTGAGTGATGACCACACAGAATGGGCAGGGGCCCCCACCAAAACATGGGAGGCTGTCATCCATCTCAGTAAGGGAGATGCCTATGGAAAATGGACTCAGAAGCTGGGCATGAAGACGACTCCAGCACTCTAGGAGGCTGAGGCAGGAAAACTGCAAGTTGGAGCCCATCCTGGACAATCTAACAACTTAGACCCTGTCTCAAAATAAAAAATCAAGAAAGTAAGCTTGGGTTGTAGCTCAGTGCAAAGGTCCTGGGGCCAATCCTCAGCTCCCCTCTTCTCCCAAAAGAAGGAAATGGTCAGAGGCAAGGTGGGCTGGTGGAAGGGTTGCGGGGAGGTGGACAGGGCACTGGTGGGGGTCAGACCCTTCATCCTGGCCATGTGTGTCAAGGTTGGGTCTGGGGGGACAGGGAGGAGCCAGTTCAGTGCCACGTGCCAGCTGAGGACACGGCCTGCCACTCCCAGTGCCAGCGTGGTGAACAAGTCGTGGAGAATGTGTGGGCTGCTTCTTTCTCTTGTAGTCTTAACTCTGACAACCTCGGAGCTCTGTGCTTGCCTTTGAAATTCTATAATTAGGCTAGTTGCAGGAATTTTAACAAGCTCCATTTCCATGGCAATCTAGCATCTTAAGCACTCTGACAAGGCAGAAAGGAAAAACACATCAAAAAAAGCCTAGCTCCAAGCAACAGGCTGTGAGGGCAGCCAATGCCATCCTTCAGGTGGGCGTGAGGAGTGTGGGTGCCACCGAGCTCCTGCAGCAGCCAGGACTCCGGCCTCTGGCATCCTGGACTGGGCCAGGCTGCACCGTAATGAGGCAAGTGATGGTAGAATGGGACCAGGAGCTGCCCACAACCAAGAGCTGCATGGGAGGGCAGGTGCTGCCCTCTCACATGCCAAGGCCTCCCCAGCTCACAAGGCTATGTCAGCCATGCAACAGCCATGAGGGTCCCAGATGCTGATGTCCACATCTGTGTTCGGCATATGGTAGGGGTGGCACAGCCATCAAGGTGTCCTTAGGTTCTGGGAGCCGGTCCAGGCTCATGTACCCAACTCCCAGTTTTCTGGTATCACTGGCCACCCGGCTGCCCTGTGGCCCAGGGGCAAAGTTCCCAGTGAGATGCCCTGCTGAGGCTGGCTCTGCCTGGTGGGCCTTGAACCCCGGGCATTTGGCCCACTGGGGGTGACAAGTGTGGTCGCAAAGGCACAGGATGCCTACAGAAGCACAGCCACTGCATTTACCCCTGGCTGGTGCCTGGGACAGCATGTGAATGGGCAGAGCTGCCAGTCGGGTGTCAGGAGGACAGTGGGCCAGTGATGGGGCAGTCCCCAAGGCAGGACGGTGTGGCTGGGGGCCACAAGTGAGGCTGGAAAGGTGGAGGTGTGTGTGTGTCCCACGCCTGGCAGCCTGTAGCTCAAACTTGCTGCTCCCGGCCACTGACCTACTTCCCGGCTGAAAATGTTTCTTAACTGCGCCAGGCTGCAAAGGCGAATGCAAGCTAACAGGGAAAAGGGCCCGAGGCTGTTTCGGGGCACAGTGGCCACAGCCCTGGATCCCACACAGGCTCCCCACTCTTCCCCAAGTCGCTCTGA